TACCTTTTTTTGCCATCATTTCAGAATCTTGAGTTATTTTTCTAAATTTGCAGTAACTTGTTTAGAATGACTTTTGAGGGCTATTATTTTCTTACTTAGTATTTGTTGTTTTATCTAATCCTGAAACTAACTATGACAGGTTTATAAGTTGAGATACAGTATGAATTTATTTCATACTTTTTTTGTTTTTTGGTACTGAGAATTAAACTTATGACCTCACGCTTGCCAAGCAGGTGCTTGTGCCACTGAGCTAAACCCTCAGCCCTAGCCTGAATATATTGATAAAAGATGATGTGGTGGGGCTGGGGGTTTATAAAGCTCAGCGGCATAAGCGCCTGCCTTGAAAGCAGGCAGTCGTGAGTTCGAACCCCAGTACCGATAAAAAGAAAAAAGAAAAAAAAAAAAAGTTTATGTGGTAGTATATGGGATGAATTGCAGTGGAGAGCACCTTGAAAGTATGGCACATGGATCATGGTGGTTTGAAAGCAGAAAGAAAAAGGTAAAATCTTGATAGGGAAAAATTGTAAAGAAACAATTGATGACTTATGGATGTGAGGATAAGATTACTAAATTGAAAAGGTAGTGCAATTGATGGAATTAGGATGTCTACCAGAGATCACTAGCAACAAAAGACCATGACTGAATGCTGGACATGTTCTACCATCTCATTTATTCAAAGAAGAAAGATTGTCCTGAAAAGCCTCTGATTAGAGATACGTATTTGAGAGTCACCTGCAGAGAGATTATGATTGCAGCCCAGGAAATGAATTTTACCTGTGAAATAAGAATGTGTATGAAAAAAGTATCACTCTTAAAGGATGAGATGAGGATCAAAAATTGATAACAGTAGGGCAAGGCAATGCATACCTTCATTACAGCACTTGAGGGGCTGAGGCAGGAGGGAGGAGTGCTGTGAGTTTGAGGCCAACCTGAGGTGAATAGGCTCATCACCACTCTGTACTACTGAGTGGGACACTATCTCTAAGGAAGGAAGGAAGGAAGGAAGGAAAGAAGGAAGAGAGAGAGAGAGAGAGAGAGAGAAAAGATTGACAATAATTAATAGCAAGAAATGATCAGAAAGGGACTAGTGTTAAAGTCAAGTTATGTAGAAAGTAGTAGCCAATAGTCCGTTTACACTTAAAGCATTGCTAGTGTAGATAAATAGGATGAATTTATAGGAATGTGTTTGCATATGGAACTACCTTGCCTTTTAGAGAGTTTATGGCAGACTCTCTTTGCTCTTCTTAGTTTCTCAAAAGGCACCTACATTCTTTAGTTCATGGCCCTTATAAATGGTTAATTTGCAATGTAGTAATATTAAGGGGATGGGACTTTTGGAAACTGATTTGATCATGAGGGTTCTTCCCTCATGCATGAGGTTAGTGCATTTATAAAACAGCTTTGTTTCATCTGAGAGTAAGTTCCTGGGGGTGGGGAATATCAAGAGCATGAAGAAAATAAAAATAGAGATAGAGCTGAGGTCAAGTGGAGGCCTTCCTCCAAATGAGAGAAAAGAGACTGCTTAACTGCCACATTGTGTTTATTTATACATTTGTTGTGTGACATCCCTTTGACTAGCTCACCTTTTGTGCCCCTGTTCTAGGGGCTGGGACACCTGCTTGCCTTGTGGCTTCATGCTCTCAGGGTATTTGTTAGATGCTTGTTGCCCTTGGGGCATTCCTCCAGTGCTCTGTGCTTTTGGCTCCCTGCCATCATTAACTCAAAGGTTTCCAACAAGCCTTCAGGGAATCTGGTTATACCTTCAACATGTTAGTTCACATAGCAGGTATCATCCATGAGGAATGCATCTGCATCAGACACTGAATCCTCTGGCTCCCAAGCAAACACTGGTCTTTTCTTTGACTCCCCTCTCTCAGACTGCACATCCAGTGCCTATGGAAATGGTGTTAGCTTTAGTTACAAGCACAGCTTCCACCTCTGCCCCATTGTCTTCTCCACTGCTGTATCTAGAGACAGTTACGTGACCTATCTCTTTGTGTCTATGCAAGAGGGGTCCTATTAAAATGTAAGCCAGAAGTCACTTCTCAACTCAGATGCCAATGATGGTTCTTCTTGTCAGAATAAAAACCAAGGCTGCTATGCGAATGAGCGTTGACTCTCACCTACATAGTCTGTGGACAGCCCTCTCTCATCTTTGAATTGCTTTCCTCTTCACGCTGCTCCAGCTCCATGCTTCTACACTGAAGCGGTGTGGTTCACTTGTGTGTGCATGTGTATGTGTTGCCTTTCCTCCTGCTGGATCCTTGTTCTTCATTTATTTCCAGAGCCAACACCTTTGCCCTCTTTAACATAAGCCACATTCCTTTGCCTTCCTAAAGTGGAATTACAACTGCCAACTGACATTTTAAAGGCTCTTTCTCCATTTCATTTTTCTCCTGCCACTTACTGCTATTTAATATTGTTATATTTTCCTTTTTTGTCCCTTGTTCTGTGTGCCTTTGTTACTTTTGTATTACCTGAATGTAGGACATACTGTTTGTTCACCTGTGTACCAGAGCTGTTTAGAACTGTTCTTTGGATAAATCCTTAATTAGTTCTTGACTTGTATGGATACATGAATGATTTGCAGAGTATAAAACAGAGGAGTGTTGTAGGCACTCTTGACGTGTTCTTCAGCTATGTTTTTAGCATGAAAACTCCAAGAACACATGCTTTAATGCTCTAATTGTCCATTTAGGTACAGAATCTACTTGTAGTTATCACCTAGTAAGTGAACAGTCAATATCCTGAGACATAAAATGAAAATATAAAGGAATGAGTATTTCATTGAAGCAAGACATTTCAGTTATGTAACGCTTCACATTCTGGGTTAGTTTGTTTGATTTCTGGTGCTATCTCAGTTTAAATTTAAAAAGTACATGTTTAAACTTAATTTTCAAGGACACTGAAAGATAGATTATGTCGAGTAATATATTGCTGACAATATTATGATTGTGTATAAGTTTGTAATTTTTTGTTAGTCATGCTTGGCTTCAGTTTGATTAAAGGTGATATTGAGCCTTATACAGTACCTGTACTTGGCAGCAAATATAAAGAATTAGTACTTAAGTCAAATTTTAGATTAATACTTTGTATTTGAACAAAATCGAGATGTTTTTGTATGATAAACTTTCCCATTTTCTCCTAATAATAACAAATTTGTTTCTCTAAACATTTAGCATTAGCAACATTCAGCAGATATTAGAATGGTATATTACTTGCACCCCAATTTAATTTGTTTTCCTGTGCTACATAATATTTTTGGTTGAATTGCTTAATCTTGTATATCTTAATTAATAAAATATTTTTCTAGAAAAACTGCAGTGAAGTTTCTGAGTTTAGATGTCTTAAATTATTCTTGGTCATGTAAATAAGCTGTGCTTTGCAACTTTGAGTTTTTAACCTTTGCTCTTTACTATTAGCTTTATGTTTTTTTAATTATAGGAAATGGAGGACAGTAGGGAAGTTATGACTTAAATGGACTGTTGTTATTACCATATTCTTTTATAAAGAAATGAAAAATGTTATTTATTTTGTTCAATTCAAGCACAAACAAATATAAAATAGCTTGTAAACTGGTTTTTTGCTCAGTATTTAATATTGTCACAGTTTGTTTCTTCAAATGTAATAATTATTTTTCCATTTTAATGATTGATGGTGAACTAGTTATAGTCATAGAGTGTGTACCATTATTGCCTAATAAATAAAAAGGAATTAATATTATCATTGTATGATACTGTATTGTTTGAATGATTAAGTAATAGTCATTTAAAAATGCATGCATATTATTTTTGCCTTAAAGCCAAGATTTCCTAGTATGTTAGGAAAATAGCAAAATAAAATAGATATGAAAAGAAAATAAGCATTCACAGTTTTAGAAATTATTTTGTTCTTGGGTTTTGTTGCACATCTCTTCTGTGACTGTGGTACTTATGTTACCCATTTGTGCAAACATGTTCAGATGAATTCAGTGTTTAATGTTAAGAATCTTATAACATGCCAATTTGATTTGTAGCCATTCATATCATGGAATGCTAATTAAAATCATATTTTTGCATATGTCATGCCTTTCATGTACATATGCAAATAGATTCTATTGCCTTTCAGCTATTAGTAATTAACTTTATGAAGGACAGCTGTAATACATAATTAACAAAAATGTTTGCAAGCCCTTTTATACTGAAAGTTACAACAGTAAATTTTTTTCTTACTCATCAAGAGAGCCATTTTAGTCTGATATTTCTGAATGAGATTTAAATTGTTTTAAATAATCACATGACATAATTAAATTGTACCATGATCAGTGGAAGGATGGTACGCAGTGTACTGGTTGCTGATTTCTATCTATTTCATATTTATATCAGAAATATTAAATTAAAGTAAATTGATTTGTGTGTAAAATAAGATGGTATTTCAGATTATGCTTTTTGTTTGTTTTAGTTACTGATATTTTCTTGGCACTAAAGCAGAGAGTTTCTTATTAACTACAAATCCAGTAAACATTTATATCAATTTAAAAAACCTGTCCTCAAATCATTACGCTGTTTTTAAGGAAGTTTCATGAAAGCTATTCATTTACTCTTTTATGGGCATTTAAATATTTAATAAAATGACATTTTCTCAAACTCATTTCATGATTGAAGTATGAGACGGGCTAAGGGCCAGTGCATGTTACAGTGGAGCACTGCTTTATTTTTTGTACCAACTACCAATGAAGACAGGGGCGAGAGAGCTGCTGTTATAATGGGGTCTTTTGATCATTATTAGAATACTATCAGTAAGAAAATGGGTCAATTAGTTTAGATGTGATAATTTATTTTGCTTTCCCAAACTTATACTTAATCCATGTGCAGATTTTTTTTTAAAAAGAATGCCATTGTAATGTATATTTTATGCTTTCTTTGTATACACATAGCTAAGTTTTATCCTTAAATATATTATGTATCAGTTTCTACCAGAGTCAAATTTTAGTTCTGTAATCACTTTTGTTTATTTTATAGGGTTGCTTTTGTAATGAAGAAGCACTTAAATACTCACCTGCTAGGCAAACATGGAGTTGGCACACCAAAAGAAAGGTAATTTCCATGTATATATACATATATGTTTTAATGAATAAATGAAATTACATTTTCATTTTAGGCTTTGTTTAATGACATGCCATCTAGAATTTTATCATGTCAGTTCAGCCTGTTTTGCATTTGTGATATTCTTGTTGCTGAATATCATATTTGATGTCATTTTCTAAGAAAATTGTAATGGCGTATGTTAATTTTAGAAATTACAGTGAAAAGGATTTGAAAACTGGGGCTGGGGATTTAGCTCAGCAGCATAAGCACCTGCCTTGCAAGCAGGCGGTCATGAGTTCGATCCCCGGTACCAAAAAAAATGAAAAAGACCAAAAAAAAAAAAAAAAGGATTTGAAAACTTTTAAAACATCTTAAAATCACAGAAGAGATGAATTAGAGGGAATTGACCTCTGTAAATGCATTAGTACTTGCTAAAACAAATATATAAAACTAACCTTGATCTATTTTTACTGAATTTTTACTTTGAAGTTTTAAAGTAAGATTTAAACATTCTTACTGTAGACTTAAACACTGCTGATATTAAAAAAGAAATATATCTTGTATCTTTCTCCAAATACTACAGTTGCCATGTCATGAAAAATAAGACTACAATTATTATGTCATCAACTGCCAGGTTTTCTTTTGCTTGTTACTGTATCATAATTCGCTTTATCACATAGATTAATTATATTAAGTGAACTGAAATACAGCAGGTAAGCATGGCTACTTTTAAAAATTTTAAGTCTTTATAATGTAGAGCTTATTCAGAACAAGTGTGAGCGCTGTCACTTTTATTAAAGACAGAGTAGAGTTTTAGCTTCTCTTAGGTAACATCATAATTCTACGGACATTTCTCCAAACTTTGATTTTCTTAATATGATATTAAAATGTCAGTAATAAAGCAAATTCTACACTCTGAAGCCTGAGGCCTCTTCAGCTGTATTTATAAATGTTTAATAACTATGTTAAAGGTTTTTAAATGCTCTTACTCTATTTTGTTTGTTTGAGGAATTTAACTTGGCTTTTCTACTGGAGAATTGTTTTTTATTACCATTACACTATGAACATTGACTTAAACTGTGTCAAAGTATTGGACTAGATATATCTCCTTTGTTTCCATAATTTGGATTTCCCATACTTTTCTTTGTGTCATGAAATTTAATAATGATAGCTAGGATGAATGCTTTGCATACATCATGATGGTAAGTGAATTGAATATTGAAACTGTAAAAAAAATCTTGTATTTTTAAAGACTATTTTGGGGCTTGTCAAAAGTGTGTTTCATATTTTTACATGGAAGCAAAGCATACTTTTAATTAATATGTTTCTGTTGCATTTACATCCATTGTCTTAACCATTTATAATCTTATTGAACAATATATTATTCCCATTTTATGGGAATAAGAATAACAGCCATAAAGATACAATAATAATTTATTCAGTGTCTTATAACTAGTAAATATTGTCATTGAAATTGGCAACATTATTGGTGTTTCCAAATCCAAAATAAAGTTGAATAAAAGTATCTGGATTACATAATAACAAAATATTTCTCTACCTTTAAATAGTATGTATTTTTATCCCAAGTGTATCAATTTACTTTTAATTTAGCAATTAAATATATTTGATGTTTTTACATATTGTGTTGTGTCAAAATTGAAATTTCATGAACAGTTTATCTCAGTTTCCTCTGTATTTCTATCTATACAAGGACACATGTATACATATGTATATAGCAACCCACACATGCCTTTAAAAATAATATATATTCCTTATACTTTATGATGGGAGTTTCTAAAAAGTCACACAGATTTTTTTGTTTACATTTTTCTCTGCATCCAAGCCACTTTGCCATTTTTTTTTTGCTCACTTCAGTTACAAGTACATGAAAAGAGTTGCTTAAAACAAAAAGGTAGAGAAAGTTTGTTAACTTTCTGTTGCTTTGGAAAAATATCTGAAATTACCTCCTTAAGAATAAGAAAGTATATTATGGCTCTTGTTTTCAGAGTTTTGAGTCCATGGTGGCTTAGCCATGTTGCTTTAGGGTAATAGTACTTCATGGGTGTTATGGAGGAGGGCTGTTCACATCTTAGATGCAAAAAGAAAGCCAGGGGAGAGCCGGATTCCTCTTCTTCCTTTCCCCCATACATGTCTCCGTCCCACTATATCTGACATCTTTCTGTTACCCCTTAAATAGTAGCATAGGTTGGTAACCATACATTTAACACGTAGGTCTTTGGGGGACATTTCAGATCTGAACTCTACCAGAAGAATTGAATGACTCTTTCCCATATAAGATAATGCCTGGTTTTCTGACACTGACACTTTTTTCCCCCTAAAATCAGGAATTGAATCTCAGATTGGAAAGCACACTATTCTGAATCATTACCTTTTACCTATTCTATGTAGCAGTGTTCATCTACACCACTATCTTTATTTTTTCTACTAAAAATTCTTTGTTCATAATGTGTATGTACAGTGTATTTATTTGGCACTCTTGTTATGTAGAAGTACTGAATGAGAATCCCAGGACCTCAGCTGTATGCAATTTTCCAATATATATCTGTGGCTGGAGAGACCCAAATTTAAGTGCTATATGCTAACACAAGAAATACCAAATCACTCCTTTTTCCTTCCTTTAAATGGTTTTAGGAAGCAAGGAAAGTATCATCATGCTGAATCCTCAGTTTTGGTATAACTGTTACTTGAATTAAGTTAAACATATTTCTGCCTATTTGAAACATTAATGCTTTGGCTATAATTTTGCAAGCTTGCTGTACTTTAATTTCTCCAGGACAGTATAATTAATTTATTTTTTATGTTTTCAATTTGATTCTCACCTCTAGTGCATTTCGTAGTATAAATAATAGGATTTAACTAAACAGGCTGTGACAATTAAATCAATAATGTAATGTTTTGTTTGCAAGTATTTAGGCTTTGTGCTTTGACTGATATATGCAAAATAATAATTTATTAAAACTAATTTCATATACTATAAAGTTTGATGAACCAATAAATTTTGCCAGGATTACTAGCATTAGAAACAGAAAACAATACTTTCAAAAATTTTTGAGGTTCCGTGAACTTTTGAAATGATTGCATCCATAATAAGCATAGGTTTTTTTGTTCCTAAATTTGCATTAATATTGTAAGGTAGCATACTATAGAATTTTTGAAGCCTTTTACACTTAGATATATTTAAAAAACTCTGAATATAGTGATACTCAATTCACATTCTGAAATGATAGACTCCAATAAATTTGTGACTTTTTTATTCTACTTGGGATCGAACTCAACACCTTGTGTTTGTCAGGCAGGTGCTTCTGCCGCTGAGCTAAATCCCGGCCTGACTCCAGTAAATTTGCAAGTGCACTTTAAAGTATTCCTTAGATGAGTAATGCTCTCCATATGTGAGCCAAAGTATCTTTATAACCCTAATTTTACTCATAGTAACCTAAAAAAGGAGCTTATCCTCAGTTGTCACAATTGGAGCAGGCATAACAAGTGTATCATCTATGAATGCCAGGTGCATGTGATGGTGGAAACAGGTGGCATGTGTGGTCCATTGCCTGGTTTCTGCCTGGATTTAGCTGGGCTTTGGGTAACTGTGTAAATAGGAGGGAAGAAATAGCTTACTCATAATGTCCATTTTGTTATATTGCCTTCTGATGTGTACACGTGGGAATGGAGAATACCATGAGGCAATATCTGTGTCAGTAGCACCTCAGTAAGACTGCTTTACTGTATCAATAGAGGGTTTTACATTACGTAGTGCATCTATAAGTGTAAGCATTACATAATTTCACAACCAAAAGAACTGTACTTATGCCTTTACTAATAACCGTTCATGTGGTAACGTTGGTAGTTTTTCAATGAAGCAGTGTTTGGAGGCATCTTTTAATGTGATTGTCCTCAGCTAGAGCCTTATCAGCAGCACACCTGACACTGGGAGGTATAAATCTAACCTTGAATTTGTACTGACTTCTCATCTTTTCTCAGATACTTGGAATGTGGGGTCAGCTGTCCTTCTAGCAACAGCTTTGTTTCTGCTGATACTAATGTCTCTCTCCCACCCACATCTTTCTGGGATGAGAAGACCAGCAGCTGTGGTGACTCTTCCCATTTTCCTAAGGCACTAATTAAGGACATGACATTTTGTAGGGTTTTGGGGTATCTCCTTTCCTTTCTTTGTTCTATCAAATAGGTTGTACCTTAAAATTGAATAGAACCGATTTTATGTTTCTCATGTTTAGATGTAATATTCACATTTGGAACGTTAAAACACCCCAAAGAGAAACATTCCGTAGCAAAGCATGTAGACATACAGTAAGTATCCAATTTACCAACACTGGAGTGACAAACTTTCATAGATAAGAATGGACTCCACACTTGATTTTTTTTATACTTCACTTTGTATATTTATGTAAAAGGTATGTAACACTCACTGTGTTGGACTTATGAATGGATACAATTTAGGAACATTTTACAAGAACAGAACTCATTCATTACTTGGTAACTTACTGCATTGGCCTTGGTAGTTACTAAACTTGTGCCAAATGCACTACATTGTTTAGAAACATATATTAACATTAGAAGAGAGAAATGATACATATTTAAGAAATCCTGAACGAGTGGCATAGACTAAAATTTTTAGTATTAGAAAAGATTCTGTTCATAGTTCCTATGACGTTACAGTTGCTGTTTTAGTGTCTGTTTTAAAGCAGTATGTTGGTTTTGGCTGGGTTCTGCACTCATTCTCCAAGGCTTCCGGCTCTTCCCTTCATCCTCTTATTTCTTCCTCACCACAGTTTGCAAAATTTTTTTCTTTTTCCCTTTCTCCCATGAGGGATAATTTAGGGAACCTAGTGCATTTATGGGCTTCGGCTTCACAACAGTTCATCAATAGTCAATGTTAGTATTGTAAAAGAAAGTCTGTTTTAATACAGACTTGTTTTTAACAAACAATTTATTAAGGCACATATGGAAAAATTACACTGTCCACCAAAGCT